AGTGGATATGGCCTGCAAATCCTCATCTATGTACCATCTGGTCCCTGCCAGAAAGTTTGCTGACTCCTGTACGGGGTGTGATGAACTGGGGTCTCTTCTTCATTGTCACTGCAAATGGCAATCAAATACAATACAATAATATATATTTTAATAAATATACTTGTTACCAATAAATGTAGTATAATTACAAAATTCATAGAATTTTTATGTTAAAAATACTGTAGCAAAGCTGGAGATAGAATTCAGTAGTAGAGCATTTGCCTAGCATGTACAAACCCTGGCATCAATTCCCAACACAGCAAAAAAAAAAAAAAAAATCAATCAATAAAAATATTGTAGCAGTGAACCCAGGAATTCAGACTCTAGGCCCTAAGACTGGAAACAGGGATAGCAAGCATGACAGCTACACTTGAATACTGAACCAGGGTCTCAACTCTGCAAGAAGTAAGACAGCTTCTCCAGCAAAATTTTATATTCCTAAAGTCCTATTATTCTGAAATATTAATATCTTGAAATTATTACTAACAAGTTATACAACATACTTATTTAAAAAGAAATGTTTAGGTTGGCTTGTATGAAACTGGAGATATTCAAAGGTTTGTAACACATTCATATCATGAAATGAAAAGGGAGACCCAGATTAAACAGCCCATCCTAAGTGTGGATGAAGTCAAAGAACCCAAAATTGACAGATTACTTTCACCAAAATCACAACACCAATCACATCAATTAATATAATCACTTGTTGTATTTGTTTGATGGCTCCTTGACATGTTCTTTGCAAGCTTGTTTTACTTTGTAAGACTGCAGGTGCTATAAACTAAGACATTTATTCCATTTAATATATTAAGTAATATTTTGACAAACATAATCAAATCAAACCAGAAGTAAGGATATTTTCCCCTGAAAAGCGGCTGTATATTTCACAAGTCTGAAAACCATGTGTGTATCTCTTGAACGTGTAAGCATTGTAGCACATAATTTGGAAAAAAGCCAACCACAATCCCCTCCTGGTCCATCTCACAAGCTTGTTTGTGGGCAACTGCAGAGAAAAAGTACCAGGATAGGGAGACTAGCACAAGATCCATGACTTCACATTCAAAACAAAACAATTAACCTTGTGAGCCTCAATTTTCCCTTCCACAAGATAGGGATAATGGTTTCCACTGCAGGGCTGTACAAACATTAGAGGTGCTCTAGGTAAGCGATACAACATGCTGTAATATTATCTAACATCTTCAAAGCAATTAACCATGTGCCAGACATTTTCTGCACATAAATATATGATTACAGACAATGAGAGAGAATGATTACAGCTGCCACACTTGAACGAAGTAGGCACCAATGCAGTCTTGTTTTAAAGATAAACAAGCTGAGACACTTGGACTTTCAGTAATGAGCCCAAAGTCATGGAGCTGGGCAGACTTGGCCCAGTCGTCTAAGGCCAGAAAGAAGCTGGCTTGCTTTTCCGCAAAACTCCCTTAATATATGAGAGTGGTTACTGTGATATTGTTGTCCACTGTTTACCAGGATAAGAACAAGTAACTGTTTCTTTGTTTGAATCTAACCATAACCTTCTAAAACACCACAGTACCCCTCAAGGGTTCTCCATGCCACTGGGGTAAAACCCTTTCCAGAATGTTACTTTTCAACTGACACTAGGTTTCTCTCTATGAAATTTTGGAGAGAAATTCCATTTTTGAAAGACTTTCAAAATTTTAGCTGAGAGCAGTGTATATATCAATCACCTCTTCTCGGGATCCTGAATGTCTCCCCTATAGTCTTTCCTCCCTTTGTGCTCGTGTCCTTGAAAAAGCGGGACTAAGCCACTAGTAGAAGGACCTAGGAGAAGGAGCCAGGAACATCAGCCTAATGCTTATAGTAGGGGTGAAAAACCACTTGGTTAACACTGCAGAGTTGGTGAATTTAAACCACAAGAGGGCTGTGTTTCAAAAAATAAGACTACTTGCTTCCCACTGTGTATGTTTCCCCTCCTTAGAATGAAGCATAAAGGACAAGGGACTTCAATTTTAGGGCCATCAGCTAATCCGACTTTCATTTTTAAAAGGCAATGAAAGTGATTAATGCACTAGAATTTTAGAAAGAGGAAAAATGTTATTATGTGGTACAGTTACCAATCACTCCCAAGCTCCAGCCCCTGAAATTTATACACTGTACTGAAAAGTCTGTTCTAAAATTGCTACAGGGGCAGCTTCGTTGGAGAGAACATACAGGGGCCAGTGGAATATGTAACTCCCAAAATGTTATGTGAACATGCTAAAAAAGTAGACTTAAAACCAAATACAAACCCCTCTGAGAACACAAGAATTATTGCCTTAAAGCAAGCAAAAGACCTACAGAGACACTATTAAAGCCATTTTCACAGACTCTTATAAAGAATGTTTGCAAAAATTATTAACTATTATTAAAACACAGTTATGAATCAGAGTGGACATTATTAATAGTGGTAACAGTAGTCACTGCCTTTATAGCAATCATAGGAGTCAAAGTCACCATCACAGCAGTATCTTCCTGGTCCTTGTCATGTAGTAGACTGAGTTTTTCATATGTGCCCAGCCCCATACTCAGAGCACAAATGAATCATCTCAATTATTCCCTCTAACAAGTTTGCCAGAGTGACACAGCCTCAGTGATCTGATTTTGGGCAAATTACTCTTACCTCTCTATTCCTCAATGTCCTTATTTGTGACTGAAGATATTATCTATCTCACAAGATGATTGTGAGACTTAAATGTGTTAAAAGTAAGTGGTGTCCTAAAAACACTGTCTGGCATATAATAAATACCATAAAGGCTAGATGTCACTAATTCTTCGTCTAATCTTAGTCTCAGTGATGAGGAAACCAAGGCATAGGGAGGCCACGTCTGAAGTCACACAGCAGGTAAATGTTAGACTTGTGGTTTGAACCCAGGCATTCTGACTCTGGAGTCCACACCTTTAACTACCTCAAAGACCCCTAGAGTTTTCAAATATACATATGTTTATATTTATACATCAGGGTAAATGGAGGGAATTTTCAAGTAGCACAGCGGGCATCACCTGAGGTTGTGACTGTCCCAGAACCTGACTTATCAGCCATAAGGTCAAAAACCTCTACTGGATGCTGAGATTACACTAAATACCAGATGGTGCCAGGTGCAGCCTGAAACTTAGTTCTAGGGAGAAAGACAGTCTATACAAATACCTTAATTCGGAATAATAATGGACAACTGCAAAAACAAAAACAGCAGAAAGAACCTCTTAAAATGGTCTTTTCCTGGCTCCAGGAGAAAACAGACTGCGTTAAAATGTCCTGCCCACCCGCTCCCCAACCCCTCACTCTGGGTCCACAGAGTCTTTATCCAACTTTACCTTCTCTACATTTTATGGTTGATTGTATCAACATTTATGCACTGTTCTGATCTTTTGATATTTATGCTTAGAAGGGAAAATGTTTAAGCCAGAAACTTAAGAATAAGGAAGAATGAAAAACATTAAAGTAGCAAAAATGTAATCTCCTGATCATGATATTACTCCTTTCATATAACTCACTTATCATTTCCCTTAGAAACTGTTCTGTTAGTTTTAAAACATTGAGATCAAAATGATTATTCCACAGGTAACAGCTACCATATATGATATGAAGGGATTTATTTTTACAAGAATATAATCTGAATTCATCTGCTTCTATTTGTTTTTTTTCTATTTTTTTAAACAAAATAGAAACAATAAACAGCAATAAGGCCTATAACTATTTTTCCTTTAGTAAAATACTGTAGCAATTAAAAAGCTTCTACAGGATATAACTAGTTGGAAGCTGCACTAAGAAAAACTTCTGGCTGACCACAAAATAGCCACTGTTCCAGGGAAAGGTCAAGTATTCAACTTCTATTCACTAAAGCTGAATGACATTCTATAATAGACTTATCAGATGTGTTCTACATACCAGTTGGTGAAGAATTAAGAAAAAAGTTAAAATGTTTATACTGGTCAGCCAAGTAGCAAAGAACCAGCATACCAGATTCAGGTACCTTTGTTACTGCCAAGCAAAGGCTGTCCTAGAGCCAGGATAAGAGGCCATCTGAAGATTAACGCAAGGGGCCAGGTGAAATGAGATAGCCTAATGCCAAATCTGGATGAACTCCACAAAAGCAGCACTTCTGTAGTCTCCAGTGTATGTCAACAGATCAAAATGTATTAACCTCTTCCTGCAATATTTGAAAATTATAGGAAATAAAAAAAAACTGATGTAAAATATATATACATATATATGTATGTATACAACATTAGTAAGATTTTTCAGGTCAAAGAGAGGAGCGAGGTTTTAGAATAATAAATGATTCTATAATAACTGAATGTATTGTTAAAATCTGGAAGAAAAATAAATGAGTCATTTTGCTCTTTAACCTGGTAAGACCTAATTTATATTAACTTAAAAATAACAGGATTTGTAGGACTATAAATTAATATGAACACTCAGAATTTTGTATGAAATTCATATCAATTATTTTTCTTGCCCTATACCATGTGTATCATATAGTATATAACTTCTATACCTAATTACATAACCTACAAGTCAGTTTAGTAACACAGAACTAATTGACCATGTTTTCAATTATCTTGTCCTATATATCTACTGCATCATGCTGATACGGTTTAAATTGTACTACATAAAGGGTGTTCAAGGCTTAGTTAGCTTTTTGTATCAGCAATATCACTTTATGTGGAAATAGGGTCTTTTTAGAGCTGGTCAAGTTAAGGAGAGGCCATTATAGTGGGCCACAATACAATCCAACTATGTCCTTTTAAAGAAGCAGAAACTTCAACCAAGAAACAGACATGCAGAGAACAATACTGTGAGGGCACCAAACACCATCTACAAGCCCAGGAGTAGCAGAAGGCTGCAGAGAGAAAGGAACAGATGCTCCCTGATCAGCCTCAGGAGAAACTAACCCAGCCAATACACACGTGTGGGACTTTGTTTTTGTTTTGTGTTGCAGTAACAGAATACCACAGATTGGGAAACTTATAAAGAGAAGAAATTTACTTCTCGCAGTTCTGGAGATGGGAAAAGTCCAACACTGAGGTACCCTGCAGTAGCAGGTAAGGCTTTCTTGTTTTATCATCCTACAGTAGAAAGTGAGAGAGGGCAGAAGAAAACAGACTGAACTCACAGCCTGGAGCCTTGTGTAACTTAGGTACTGAGGTCTTTACCTTTATCAGTTAAGGACCTCACATCAGGCCCCACCTCCCAAGACTGTTGCATTAGAGAATAACTCCAAGATATGCTTTTGGGAGGACACATTCAAACCGCAACAGAATTCCAGCCTCCAGAGCGATGAGACAGTATATTACAGTCCTTCAAGCCACTCCATTTACAGTTTGCTGTTGCAACAGCCCCAGGAAACTCATATACATGCTGCGGCAGAGCTGGCCAGGGCTCGCATTGTGACGCTGGAGGCTCATGCCCAGAGCACACATCTGACTCCATGCTGCGGGAAATGGAGCGGAAAACCTGCAATTCAGGTGGCAGGAGGAAATGCTCACCTAAAATACTAAAAATAAAGTCTCCTGTTTAAAGCATATTTTCCATGTTTCACTTTGTCTATTCCTCGCAACTACACTGTGAATGAAATGAGGGAGGGTTATTGTCTTCATTTTATTGACAAGCAATTTTAACCTTCTTCGTTGAATATTTTGGCCTGTGTGTGTGCATGTGTGTGTATATATGTGCACTGTATATGTATGTGCACATATAATACACATATATATGAGCTCAGAGAACCATACCTCCAACCCACCATGTACTGGCTGTTACACACTTGACCTAAAGCAAAAGCTTGTTTTGCTTCTGTCTTGTGTAAGAACAGCTTCAGTGGAATGCTCCACTCTGCAGTAAGACTAGACTCACCCTGAAACTCTACTATCTATTCCAGAAAAAAATTAAAAACAACCGTACTGGGACCAACTTCCTCTACAAAATAATGTCTGTTCTTTGGTTTCACTCCAATTCCAGAAAGATAACCTTTATTCATCTCCCCAATGATCATTTACAAGCCCTCAAAATTGTCTACATTCTTATCATCTCTCTCTCTTAAAAATTGTGTATATAAATTTCTGAATAATTTTGGAGAAGCAATCCATTCTGTGATGATCATCCATGTTGTGATTTTCTCCTTTTGTATGATAATGAGTTTGTATGCCCTTTCTCCTATTTAGTCTTACTCAGGTTATTTCTGCCAATCTTCAGCGAGGAGAGGAGACTTTTCCCTTTACCCTGTATACACACAGCAGAACAAGTATCCGTGCCAAATCTGATACTTAAAGAAAATATACTATAAATATTCTAGTGTGGAACAATTGTAACAATTTCAAATTAAAGCCTCCTCCAGTAACCTGTTTCAGTTACTCACTCACTGCTGGAACATAATACCTGACACCCACAATTTAAAGGAAGAAAAGTCTATTTTGGCTCACAGTTTGTAAAGGTTTCAGTCCACAGTCAGATGGCTCCAAGGCAGGGCTGCTGGACAGAGGGTCATAGGAGGACTGCCATAGCACACAGGCAGGAAAGTAGAGAGTGATAAAGGAAGGAGAGGCATACACACCCTTCCAGGCCACACCCACAGTGACCCAGCTCTTCCCAAGAGGCTTCCCTTCCCAACAACAATGCAGCTATAAACACAGAAGTGGTATCACACCCATGATCCAGTCTCCTCCCCCAAACCCCAACTATAAACTTATGAGACTTGGGGTGGGGGGGTATCTAGTTTTAAACCATAGCATTTGGCCCTGGCCCCGAAAGACTCATTTAGTCCATCTCTAAGAGTTGGCTCTGTCCTAACAGTCTCCTCTGAGATGTAAGGCAAACTCTAAGCTTCAGGCCCCTATAAAAATGAAAAAAACATTGAACACTTCACAACCACGATGGCACAGGATAAACATTCTCATTCCAAAAGGTAAAACTATGGGACTAAAAATAATAGGACCATAGCAAGACTGAAATTGAGCAGGGCAAACGTTAAGTGCTGTGCTCATGTCCAGCACCTGGGGCAATCTGTGACAAGATGTGAACTCCAAATGGTCTGTGTGTCCCTGCCCCACATCATGACAGGTGGTTGTACCCCTCCTGGCCTCTCTCAGGTGGGATTTGCTCACTCCTTGAGGCTTTCCTCAGATTATCCACATTCCTGACTTTTCCAACATCCTGGGGTCTCCAATGAACTGGCTTCACCCTTACAGATTCATGACCAGACCCTCAGCACTACCTGTTCTCCCAAGCCTTGTTCTGAAATCGGGGCAGAAGCCTTTCATCCCACAACTCTTGCATTCTGCATATGCCTAAAACCAGCATCATGTGGATGATGCCAAGATCTGGCATCAACTGGAGCCTTCTGGCATCTTGCTGATGGCTGCAGAGACCTCTGAGTGCCTGTACAGCTAAGCACAGAGAACTGAATTCTGGGGAATGAACTGCCATTCCTTAGGCCCCACTATTCTGGAGCATGGTTTCCTAGGGTTATTTCTCAAAGCTAAGTCTTTCACTTTAACAGGTTTGAGCCTGCAAAGGCTGGAATCATGCTGGTCCTTGTGATGCCCTCAGGCCATCATTCCTATTGCCCTCTTGTAAAGTACTTGACTCTTCTATGCTAATCTTTTCAGCAATCAAGTCCTCCTCTGCTCCATGTTTGCAGGCCCCAACTTTACTGGGACATTCTTTCTGGGCAAACTGAAAACTTTTAATTATGCTGCTGGGCCACTTGCTCTAAATTTTCAAAGTAGAGCTGGCTAAACATCCCCAGCAGTAGCCATGCTTTCACTTCAACATTAGGCTACCTTGAAATTTCTTCTGCTGCACTTAACTTCAGTCTCTTACAGTGTCTGTGGACATGACCAAAGTGCAGACAAATTTTCTGCCAAACTATAACACACATGGTCTGTAGTCTAACTGCTGATGCACTGCTTGAGCCAAATGAAACCTCCTGAGCCTGGTCCTTACTGGCTGTATTTCTATCAGCATTCTGGTCTTTCGAGCTCTGATGAGACTCTCCCATCAAGCTTGGCTCACACTATTCTACTACTGCTTCTCTAGCCAACACCTCTAATCCATTTCAGACTTCTCCTGAAAGCAAGTTCCAAAGGTTTCTGAACCACATGGTCAGGTATAGCCACAGCAATGACCCCACTTCTGGTACTAAAATCTATCTTAGTTACTTTCTTCTTTCTGGGACACAATAGCCCACATCCAAAAGATAAAGGAGGAAAGGCTTCTTTTGGCTCATATTTTGTGGAGGTTTTAGTTCATAGTCAGCTGGCTGCAACACAGGGCTGCATGGCAGAGGGGCCTGGCAAAGATGGCTTACCCATGGTATGAAAGGAAGGAAGCAGAGAGTAATCAAGGGAGGAGGAAGGGTGTATACCCTTCCAGGCTATGCCCAAGTGACCCATCTTTTCCTATCGGACTACACCTCCCAACATCACATTCAGCTATAAATGCATCAGTGCACTAATCCAGTGATGAGTATCACGCTCATGATCCAATCACCTCTCAAAAGCTCCTCCTATGAGCACATGAGGTTTTGGGGGGACATCTACATGTAAATCATAACATGATGCAAGAAAGAATGACAAAACTAGTATCACATAGACTGAGCAGGCTCAGGAATCCAGGTAAGATGAAATAAATCAGAAGAAATTGGTAGAGATAGCAACCCATAAGTTATGAAAGAAACCTTGTGAAGAGAAGGAAACAGACTGGTAGAAGAGTTAGCATGATGAATAAATGCAGTGCCAGGAAGAAAAATGATAAATTACACAAATGCCTGAACAAACACTGGAGGAAGACTTGCATTTAATTAATTGGGGGAGTCTGAAAGGGTTGTAATGGGAAATGGGGTTGAGGTGAGTTTCATTTGCACTGAGAAATGAGGAGTCACTGATAGGGTTGACAAGGACTGCAGTTCTCACCATCAAATCTTGAGCAGGGTGTGATGTGGTGAAGAAGGGCCTTCCAGCAGCCTATGATAAAGACATTTCAGTAGTGGAGCAACCTGAGGTTGGTGCTGTTGCAGTATGTGATGTGAAGAACTGCTCAGGACTGAGGAGAGGATAACTTTACTTATACACTTTGTTTTAGCTACTGCCAAGACATACGACTCCATTTTTCTTTGTAGGGCTTATTATTACCCCAAATTAATGACTATCTAACACTCCTCCTATTAGTTTGTAAGCTAATGAGTATACAGAGATTGTGTGTTTTCAGAATTTTATTCCCAGAGCCTGGCACAAAGCTTTTCATCAAAACCGGACTCACTAACAGTTTGTTGAATGAATAAAAGAAGAAATTCCACCTTATTTACAAGTTCAATCGATGGCATCTCTGAAATCACTTTCTATCCATCTTCACTACCCATTTTTCCAATCCATGCCATGTTTTCTACTAGGATTAATGCAGCAGTCACCTAACTTATGACGTTCAAGCCCTCTCCCAATTCATTCCTTCATAGGCAATCCTAACAAACATAAATCACACAAAGTACCAGCTCCTACTTAAAACATTTTCCACTGTTCTTGGGACAAAGACTAAATTCCTAACTTGGACAGCAAAGTCAGCAAGGAGTACTCCCAGCCTAGGTGTCTATTCTCCAGGAAAGCTCTACTTCCTGTGATTCACCTCAGTTACTTAATTTCAGCCTGTTCTTTTCTTCAATAGGTCCTCTGTAGTAGCTCCCCCTACTTTGCGAAGCGTCCTCTTCTCAGCCTCTCGCCTGTTACACTTCTAATATCTATCAGGGTGTCACTTCCTGCAGCTGCTATTACTCAAACTCACAAAATAGTGTTGCTTTATTCAGAGTACTTGCCTCTGTTGTAATTATATAGTTACTAGTTGTTTTTGTTGTATGTCTAATTAAGGAATATTTTCTTGCGGAGTCTGGCTCACTATTACATTTCTAGAGTCCAGAAGAGTAGTTTAGGCTGAGCATACATTTCAATGGTCAGTGCTCACTTTGTATGACCCAGGCCTTGAGTTGGATCCTTAGCATAGAAAAAAACAAGTAACAGTTCATATGTGGTTGGTACTGAATATTTACTGACCAAGCAGAAAGTATTCTACGGGAAACCAAAGAGCTAAAAGTCAGCATCCAACACACAGATACCAAACCTTTCTGCAAAAACTAACGCAAAGCTGAAGGCAAAGGCTTGAGTGCTACTCCATAACATGAGGATGAGCTACTGCTAGAACGGGAGAGAAGGGGAAGTCCAGGACAATGCAAGCTTTGCAAAGCCCTGACTATTGACTGGGAAATAATGAGACCAGTAGAATCTGTTTCACGAGGAGCTCGACAGGAACTAGTCCAAACAATTAACTGAAACCACGTAGTTATGACTTAGGTAGTGACAGTAACTAGGTGAAAGGTTGCATTTACATATCCTATTAACAGCTCCTTAACTCATCATTCTGCTGGAAACATTTACCTATGCGGAGAAACCATTCAAACTTTCCTCTCCTTGGCATTTTCCATTTTCTTCAAAAAAAAAAAAATAGTCCTTAGTTCCTTGGCAAATGTTTTAAAGACATTTCACTGTGGTCGATTAGGCATACAGTAATAGCTAAGTGAAGCAAGGGCCATGCAGAAAATGGCATATAATAGAAAGAACCCACTTTGCTCCTGATTAAAGTTACTCATGTGCAGCCTGGAAAAGTGTACACACCAAGGGGTCCTGCACAGTACAGAGCATCAGGGGTTACAGGACAAGGCTTAACGTTTTAACCCCCATTTTCCATATCATTCTACATTCTCTAAGGGGAAAGAAAGAACTTACTACTTTGCTTTTATTTCCTTATTTTGAGCTTCTTTTAAAATAAGACGGAACACTGATGAGCATGGAAAAAAAATCCCATGTCGTTTCTTTTCTTTGGAGCCCATCAGTGACTCTTGGAACAAACAGCAAGCCGCCTGATTTTGTTTCGGGAGAAGCACGCTGACAGTTTCTGAAGCACATTCCACTTGAACCGGAGTCTGTTTTCCAAAGACAAATTATTTACCACGCCCTAGCAGGGAGAGGACAGCACGAAGCCGGTGAAAATTCTGATCTTCAGAAAGACAGCAGACAGTGATGATTTCCAATTTCATGCTGTTTATATAACGAGAACAGAGGCACAAGGAAATACAAGCCTGAACCACTGGCAAGAACTGTGACAAACAAGATAGAAAGGAAAAATGAAAGTACACTGAACAACTGACCAGACCAGGTCTAGGGGGGCAAAAGAAGGGGGTTTACAGAAGCCTTCTGCACCTCTACAGAAATATGATTTTAAAGTTCACAGCTGAAGCAAAAAAAAAACATTTAATAAAGCAGCACTTTACAACGAAATGGAGTATGATTTCATTAATTAACAAATGTCTGCTTCACACAAAGGACTCTATAGTGGTATAAATCCTAACAGCACATGCCTCTTCCCAAACTCCTCAAATCTGAGGATTATCTACAAAAATAAGTACTTTTCATGCAACAGTAATATAAGCAAGAAGTACACATATAATCCACCCAAAAGTTTTCTTTAAAAACTGCAGAAGGGTCCAGTCACATGCAAACATTTGCCACGCTACTTCAAAATTAATTTATGTCTTTATTGGACTTGCCTCAAAAGAGTTCTAAAAGGTGACGGCCTCAGCAAGTTCTGGATTACGTATCTAAGTGCTGTAAAAAATCTAATTCTTAAAATATTCTAAAGCGCAGATTTTTGGGAAGTTTCCATGGGTCTCCATACCAGCAAAATAAGTTCTACTGCATTATAAGTAAGTACTATTTTAAAGCAAACTGCTTTTGGCATAGATAAATGAAAACCTCATTATCTGAAATTTATGACAGGATATTTTTAGCCATGGAAACAGCTGCTGGTTGTTTGATTCCTGAGGGCCTCAGTCTTCATTTTTATTTATTTCCACCACTGCCTTGTGTTGTGTTGTGTTAGTTTGTGAGTTTATGCTGCCCATGACTGGCAGTTCAGGCACATTCAGGATAGGTAAGGCTCTGCTTAGTGACTGCAGCAGCTGCCTGCCAGGCACATTTCTCTTTGTGTTTTTCCTACAGACCTGTGGTCCCTGACCTCCTCAAAGGGAACTTCCCCCAGGGTTAAGGCAAGGAGATGGGCTTCTTTCATTGGTTTTGGGAATTTCCTCTTCAACTCTGCTAACATTCAAAGTTGGTTGTTTTAGAGTATCACAGGTTGTTTCTGTCTGGTTCCTTCTTTTCTTTCCATTTTTTTTGAAACAAAAATTTAAATGTAAAGGCAACAGGTAGCATTTTATTTAGAAGGAGTGTTTCTTTTTTTTATTTAGAAGGAGTATCTCTTGAAAAAGATACAAAAAGACATAGTTCACTCAAATGAGAGATGAAAGAAGAAACTATGGAAAGGAAATAAGTGTGGTCATTTAACTGTAAAATAATTTAGCTACTGTCTGAATGCTGAAATAAATCAGATTATGGACTGAAACGTCTGAGAAGCCTAAGGATGAAGAAATATAAATAAAAATATTTGGTAAGAGGATACTGAGAGAAGATGAAAGACAGTGTAAATCATGGATTTTTCATCTTTAATATATAAGGTTCATGACAGAAATAGGAGTTATAAGTTAAGGGTAGTATAAGTATATTTAAAAACAAAGCTGAATGTTAAAAACTAATAGCAACTAAAAATCAGTAACACAGAGGAAGAAAAAGAGGAGAGTCTATCTAGTTTCAAAACAATGTTTAGTAGAATTGACAAGTAAAATCACACGTTTAAGGTATACCATATCATGTTTTGAGATACATGTATCTTGTGAAATGATTACTACAATCAAGCTAATTAACATTTCCATCACTTCACATATTTGTACCAATTCTTAATTTGCTCTCCTTAGAAAGCTTTTTTTTTTTTTTTGAGACAGGGTCTTGCTATGTAGTTCAGGTTGGTCTTGAACTCCCAATGTAGCCCACACTAGCCTTGAATTCATGGCAATCCTCCCACCTCAGCCTCCCAAGTGCTGGGATTACAGGCATGCACCACCACTTCTGGCTCAGAAACATTTTATTGTTTTAATAGCACGTGCTTGTAGTAAGCAATGATTAAATTCCATGTAGGGCATTGGTACATGAACATGTCACATTTTAATTCTTTTTTCATTCCCTTCCCTTTCTCTCCCTCTGTCCTCCCTCCATCTCTTCTTGGTCCCCTTCTCGTTTATAAAAAAATCTATATAATAGCACAAGTCAAAAGTTATTCTTAAATAAAAAGAAAAATGTGCTCAGCACCTCCCGCCTACAGATAGGCTAATATGGCTAAGTGCAGTTTGTTCTCTGCTTGCATCTGTCGCCTTACACTCCAGGAAGAAGAGAAGAAACTGTGTTCCTGTCCAGCCTGCTTCAGGTTCATACCAGCCACCAAGGCTGACTACAGCAGGTGGCACCACTTGGGGACCACCTGACTGGCTCCATCCTGGAGTCCAGCTGCTAGCATATGGATCTTGCCCTTGCGTTAGAGGTAGCTAGTTGGGTGCAGTTCAAGTTAGTTCAAAGTCCTTTGAGCACACATCCTAACCTCCCACTTTTAGGTGATTTTGAGTAATCCATACACATATAGAATTTTTGTTGTCACACGGCCCCAAGTTGACATTGCAGATAATTTTGTACTTTATTTTTCCTCAATAGACCTGAGCTAAGTTCTGTACACATTATCCAAGTCAAAAAATACTTTCTCTGTGTGAAGGAACGCCTGGGAATCCAACATGAAAACAAATATTTTTATGCTGTCAAAATCAACAGTTCCTATTGCTTCTACTCACCTATCAACACAAAGTCAAAACTTTAAATGAGCAATGTTTAACAGAACTTCTAGCAATGGCAAAAATGTTCTATATCTGCTCTGCCCAATAAAGTAGCCACCAGCCGCATATACCTATTAAACACTTGAAAAGTGGCTCATGTGATTGAGGAACTGACACTTTTAATGACTCCATTTGAATTCATTTCAACCTAAATTCAAAGAGACAGTGTGGCTAGTGGCTCTCAAGAATTGTCAAAGGTCTGTGATTTTTATTCCACTTGCAACCTAGAAAATTAGCATGTCCTTATTTCTTGGATATTAGGAAAAGTCACAAGAGTTTGAAGTGAGAAGCAAATATTAGCACAGTTGTACCAGTTCCCTGAAACTCAAGTTCCACAGAATGATGGGAAGAGTAAGGAACACCTGTGCCCCCAGGGATCTGCATTACAAGAAGGGAATCAAGTACCCTAACTAGGTACCTGAATCTTCTATACTGGACAGTAAGCCCAATGTCCCTTTGCCCCAAAGGGAAGGGAAAGACTGACTCTGTCTTCCCAGGCCACCTCCTGTATAAATGGCCTTGATAAAACAGTCTTCAATGAAAACAATGAGCTTCTGTGTTCACAGGGCATGCAGAAATCTGAGTGACAGTGCAGAACTGTCTCCCAGCCATGTTAGTATCATACTTATTTCTGAAATGCGCCTGTCCCTCTCCATCTTGCTTGACTGTCCTGCTTCCAGCCATAGTTAATTCTTGCTCCCTCTCCAGCTTGGCAAGTTGATTATCACATTTCCTCTCCTGTCTCCTCCTACCCAGGCTCCACACAGAAGCCAGACTGAGTCCTGCAACACAGATCTAATTATGTCACTCTCGTTTCCACCTTCAGTGTCACCCACAAATCTTTCAAGATCATCCAGTGCCCTTCCACATGGCCCTGAATGACGTGACTCTTGCTTCTACCTGTGAGTACTTCCCTCTCTGTTCCTTTAGCCATACGAAACTTCTCTCACCTCCTGAAATGCAGTGGTCAGAAAGTGGTGGCCCTGGGCTCAGTCCCCAAAATAGATTTGTCTGATTTGGTCAACATTAATAGTCTTAAAAGCACTTGGGACACTTCACATTTTAGGAGATGTCATAATTATACAACACGCATGCTAAGCTCCTCTTTCAAACCCTGGGCACCTAATAACACTTGCATCCTAGCCTAAAAGCACTTGGCTGCACTGGGCACCTATGGTACTGTTCCCTTTAGCCACAACCTGGGTTCTCCAGGTTGCCTCGCCTTCCTCCTCTCATCTGTTTATTCATTTACATCGTCAGCCTAACTTCCTTTCTGATGTTCTCGATCTGAAGTACTCTTTCAACCCTCCATATTCTTAACCTACTCCTACTCAAGCATGGGGGTCTTAGTGTCCTCTGGAAAATTCTCCCCAACCACCAACCATCACCAACCCAACTAGAGATGGGCTGCACCATTACACTCACTCACCCACCCACACTCCTCACTCAATTCCACCAGGCCGCTGTGAGTCTTTGCAGTAACCCTACCGTGGTACAACTCACACTGTGTTATATCCTGCTTTGGTTTGCACATCGGCATCCGCAAACTTTTAGGTCATGAGAGAGCAACTACGTCTGCCTTTATAGAATTGTGCGTCTTCCTAGAAAAAAGCTAAGCGCACAGGAGAAACTCAATAAAAACTTGTTGAATAAGTAACACAAGGTAGCCGAAGAATGTATGCTTCAAAATAGGTATGGTACATGTGTATTTATTTTGTAGATTTACTCATTTTTAAAATTCAGGCTTCTGAAATTCCATTCCTTTCCCTACTCTCCAAGTAGCAGGATAGTAGTTATGCAATAAGTAACAGCAATATGCCACATGCGTCTGGGGGAACAGTTCAGTCAACCCTTTCAACAGTCCTCTGAGGAAAGCACTTCCATTATTCTCATTCTGGAGACGAGAAAAGTGAGGATTTGAGAAGTAAAATAATTTTTCAAGGTCATATGACAGATAAATGTCCAGGGAAGACCCAAATCTAGACCCATGAGAACCCAAAGCCAAAATTCTTAGCCATACACAAAATATGTACTAGATGATATGAGGCCACATGGGACAAGAAACCACAGAGTTATTTATCAGCCATTTGGAATTACAGTTCTTCTGGCACCAACTGTTTAACCTTGAATAAAATGAAGGTCCCATGCTTCCACAACAGCGCATAAGTCGTAGGAGGCCCTAGATGACTGAAACTTTTCTCAGGTGAGCTGATAGCACCTGACACCAACAACTTCACACAGCTGTCTTTTAAGCTGTTCATATCGTTTCCAGCAATTAGTTCTTCCGTCTAAAAAAGGTAAAAAGGTAAAGAAAGTTCTTACACACATAGGAAAGTCTCTGGCTCCATATTTATGACCATTACACCAGATCATAGTTTCCAGAGAAGTGATAAAGAGCTCCAATCTCACTTCACAAATAGCAAAGCAGAAGAACTGAGCAACCAGGCCAAGGGTAAAGCTGACCCTAGGTCCCTCAGGCTGCCTCTCAGCCTGCCACGCCTCAGTGTGTGAGGTGAATCAAAGCTCCAAGGCCCATATTAGTACATAAACCTCAGTAAATTCAACAGAGCCAGCAGGTGGATGCATTCTTCCTGGGAGCAGAAAAAGAACCAGAGAAACCAGTGAGTCCCATGAAATAAAACTGGGAAAGAACCCTGGTCAGTCTTCTCTGGGTGGAGTTCTTGTTCATCCTTTGCCCGGAACCAAATCAAAAATAACTGATTTTTAAAACAAAACTCTCATTACAAGTCCTTTAACTTTTGAAATCAAATTTCCAGAGTCAATTCATGGCCCATCAGGAATTTAAGTGTTCAAGTTCCAGCCTATTAAAATTGTTACAGAGTGGGGACCAAAAAACTGAAATATTTTTATAATCTCTGAATATTTCTAAGCATTATAATTTCCTTCCTCAAATGTTAAGAAAACATTGTGTGTGGGTTCCATAAATTTAATGATTTGACTTGTAATGGACACTAGCACAACCTTTAACATTTGATTACTTCATACTACCTGTATAGGACGCTTTTACCCCAAAAATCATGTCCAAATGTGCCTCTGCTTAATGCAAGAGAAGCATTTAAAATTTTCCTTCATGAAATAGCTCCTTAGCAAACCTGGCACAGTATTTGTTCCAGTCTCTAGTGAAAACTCATTAAATTAAGATCTTAAAGGGCCTCAGATAATGTATTCTTATCATTTTCCTTGCCATATCTAGTTATTAAAATATATTTGATGTTCATATAAAATGATGAAATAGAACAGTCTCTAAATCAGATTGGAAGGCCCTTTAAAGCAAGTATCACTCTCCCTATCTTTCTATCTTGAAATCCCACTGCAGTGTAAGAACTCATGAAAATACCTATTAAATTAGGTCTGCGTGAACAGCAGGACGTAGCCATTTAATATTAAGTCTAAAGCAGTTTTGAAGGCCATTTCCTTGCTTTTTTCCCATAAAGTAAATAGGAAGGTAATCACTATGCTTCTTGTGCCTGTGATTATTACCTGAGACTGGACACATGACACATCACACAAAGATTGAGCTAAATGTTCGAACTGGCTTTACCAAAAGGAAGGTCTCCTCCCTCTTCTGGGGTTATTAAAATTAGCAGTAAGCTTAAATTTGCACCTA